GGTGAGCAGGCAGGCTCCTGGCAGCTACGCTGCTTGTGGACACATTTTCGTGACTGAGACCCCAAATTCATGGTGATTTGGGAAAAACAAACGGCAGCTTCTAGCTGTCCAATAAAAGTGCACCATACACCTACTCAGCTATATGCATTAATCATGCCTTGATAATTGCTTCTAAAGTTCAGTTTAATAACAACAAAACCATTTCAAGACTCTCCTCAGCAGCAGAGGTGTTACCTAGGCATGCTGGAAAAGAAAATAAAATTATACTGTCCAACCTGTGGGAGAAATATCAGCTGAGGTTTGTTAATTTTGGATAACTTCTAAATTATTCTGCTGGCACAGTTTTAAACTATAGCCTTATAATGGATCTCCTCACACTTTTAGGGCAATGATAAGAAAATTGGCTAAAAAATGGTAATGCCCTTGTTGGCTCCTAATGCATCTTTTGAGTCTCGTCTGTTTAGTTTAATGAAAAAATAAAGTTAATGCTGCCTTATTCCCGTCCCAATAACAATATCCCATGCTCAGATAATGAACAAATCACTTCAGGGGCAGAGCGCTTCCCCTGAAGGGCAGCCAAAAAGGCAGAGCCGAGTGCTGAGGCTCTCACCAGGTGACATGCGGTGCTGTGGGACCAGCACCCCACGTGGGTCACCAGGCTGGTACCTGAGAGGCCAGCACACCCACATCCCCAGTTCTTGCCACACTAAAAAGCCTTAGGCTGAATACAGACCGCTTTACAGAAGCTTGTGGCCACCTGCAAGCATTTTTAACCCTGAAATTTGGGGGGTGAAATTCATATTTCAGTCTGAGTTTCCTTTTCACATAGCACAGGCAGCAGAGAAAGTGGAGATGTTCAGATGAAAGTAAATAAATACTTTTTGTTTCTTAATCATAGCATGTTTGCCAGGTATTTGACAACCAGATTGAGCCTTTAAAGTCATAACATGTTACCTAAAGATGTGGCTTGATTACAGCCTAGACATGAATGTATAATGCCGGTTTTCAAGGGGCCAATTAGATGCAGCATTTCATGTAGCTATTCCATGAAGACTGAAATTATGCCAGGGTATATTATATATTGATCATTTTAGTTTTTAGAAGCTATTTCTTAGTCTGATGACAGTAGCTTTCAGCGCTAAGAATGCTATCTGCAGAGACTTCTCCTCTGCCAAAAAAACCCACCCCACAGCTATTCAAAGAAAGTGAAAATTTTTATTCAGGCTTTCCTGAGACAGCAAAGAAGGGGGTGATGGAAATTCTGTTATCATCCCAACTGCAGAGGCTGTGATCAGGAGCACGCTCTCGCTTGCTGAGCAGACAGCTGTAATTAAATCACTACGGCTTTCGGGATTTTAGCCACACTCCACGTCATGATAAAAACTCACGGTGAAAGAGATGAGGTAAGACCACGTGAAAGCAGTCAATACCAACGACCAGCTGCAGCAGCACGGCAGCTTACCTCTATCCGGAGAATTCAAGAGCAGCAGAGGACACGGTGTGCTGGCTGCGCTAATGCTGCAGGCACTGGTCCTGTACCTGGCAGCTCCACACACCAACGCTACCTAGAGCATCCCAGAGCTACTGCCATGGCCTGCAGGCCACCTCTGCCGGGTCATAAAATAAAAGCCCCTCCACATCACTGATCCAAGCCTGATAAAAGAGTTTGGGAAGTTCTCCCAAGGATTTTAGGCATTTTTCTTACTGAGTGCCATGAAGAAACTAAGCTTGCTTCAATGGAAAACAAACAAAACAAAACAAAAATAACAATGGCAGGAAATCGGCAAACTCAAACTGTTCAGATGCTGCTAGTTGTGGAAGATAAAAAAAAAAAAAAAAAAAAAAAAGTGAAGGTAAACCTCAGGGCAAGGATGTGCTATAAATGGGTGCACTGATCAATTCCTACACACGTTTGGAGACAGATTCATTGCTGCTGCTACCTGCAGTGCTCCTGACAGAGATGCAGCCAGGCTGCTGGGGAAATCAGTGAGGTTTTGGGCAGGAGGGCAACGATACTCCAGTGCAGCACGTGATTGATCCAACAGGCTCTGCACATCCTGAAGAGCAGGCCAGCCGTGAACCTGGGACACCCCCTGCTCCACCGCCTCACACGGCAGCAGGACGCTGCAGCTCTGGTCCCTTGTGGGACTTTGGGGCTTGGGGATAGGAATTGCTGCTGTTGCTGTCACCATCCCCATAAAAAGCACCCAAAATGATGCCACAGCCCATGGGAGAACAGAGGGAACAGGGGATGCAGGCGTTCAGAGCGTAGTGTCCTTAGGGATACAGACCTCAGCTAGCAAGGATGTTTTCTCCATGGGCCAAGGCTGAAGGAAAGATGAGAGGAGCTAGCCAGGGAAAGGCTCTGACTCAGCACACTGACACACTTTGCCTTGCTTGAGGCTAATCGGTATCCTGTGCACCTCCATGATGTCAGGTACCACACAACCATACACATACTCTGCTCTTGCTTTGCAAGAAACCCACCAAAACACTTAGGCAAGTAGGAAAGTTTCCATGCACAACCTGTGATAATAACAGAGCGAAGGCTCCCGGCACTACTGCACACTTAGCCCTACCCAGCTCTCCTTACAAGGCTGCATCTTGGCTGTAATATCTGGCCCCTGCTAGGGCTGGACATCTCTGCCTCACAGGTAGCATTGTCCTGCAGTGTTTCAGACACTTGGTCTTGAGGTTCTTGCTTAAGCAATGCTGCCATTCAACTGCACAAGCAGTTTCACTTGGTTCACAGCTGCTTGGTCATCTTGGTCGGTTTGGAGGTCAGGTTGAGAAAAAGTGCAAAGGAAAGCAGATTTACTGCTCTGGACCTGCAAACACACCAGACCATTCTGGTTCTACAGCCTGGCAGAGCTTAATGTTGCTTTCGTCTACATTAGGCCACATAATTATTAATTCTGTTCTCAGGTGATATGCACAATTTGGAAGTTTTCTCAATGAAAGGTAGTAAGATAACTCATCAAAGGAAAAATAAATAATATTTTTTCCAGTTCCCTAAAATTCCACAGGTTAATAAAAATAACATCAAAAAGACCTGTGCAAAACCCCAATTATTCCTTGCTGCAGGTGACACATTAGCACTTTGTTCAGAGATCAGATACAAACTGACCCAGACAAAGATTAATTTTTTTGTTGCAGGTGTTTGCATCCTTTATAACTAGTTTGGATTGTAACCGTTATATTTTAAAGTGCAAATAGTTTAATTTCTCTCCTTATACAAAAAGATCCCTGCTTTTCAGATGCTCAGCTTTCTGGCTGAGGTCATTCATGCTCAGAAGATAAGTGACTTTAGGCAGTTCTTTAGAGGAATTTTACACTTTCCACAGGTTAACTATTTTCTGGTTAAACTGAAAAGCACGCTGCTTTTGTCACTATTATAAAAATGGTCTAATGACATTTTCTGAAGCTGGCTTCTGAAGGCTCGATGAACTTCAGCAGAAACTTGGCACTGAGATGTAGGAGCAGTCATATGCTGCAGTTTGGGAGGTGGTGAGAATTAATAGATAGGTGACAGGAAGAAATCCCCTGTTGAGCATGTTCGCTAGGGATCATTTTTTACTCATTCTGTGCCAAAAACATCAAAGGAGATTAGGGGAAGCAAAAAATCCTCTGCGAACCCTGATGCAGGCACCTTCACATGAGCACTTGCAAGGCTTGTGTTTTCCACCAGCATTCTGGCAAATACAGTGACACCCCTTGTGCAAACGCTGGTGAAAAACCTCTGTAGGCAAATCTCTGGGTTTTCTCTGAATGAATGTGCATGAATAATGTTTTAGACAGCTGGTGGCTGAAACAAAACCTAGTCAGAATTTCCAGCAGGGCTAGGAACACTAGACTGAGACAGCAGCTGAGTGGGAAAAAACACAGCCCGCATATAGAAATGTCATGGTGACCCTCTACGGCCCTCCCAGTGACTGTGTAGAGAAATAACTAATACGTAAGCCAATAAACTGTATTGGGAATTCTCTCTCCTCGAGCTCTTCCTTAAAAGTGTGTGCGTGGAGCACTGCCACAAGCCGAGCAGCCCTAATGTATTCATTGATCAGGCGGGATGCGTCCGCTTAATACTGCAGTACGTGCTTCCCATTTGTTTACCCTTTTCCACATTTCTACATCATTTCTTTTCATTTTGAAGCAAATTTCAGCACGATCACTGTATTTGCTTGAAGTTACACTTGTGCAACAAAACTGCCCCCAGCCCTTCTGTGCTGGCAGCCGCCGTCATTTACAGTGGCCACCCAGCAGAGGTGCTGGAAGCAGCAGGAGGGATCCCTGTCACACGTGCACTGTCACCAGGCACGTCGAGGTACCTTTCTCAGGGCCAAGCTTTTATACCTCTAACATAGGCATATGTATTTTACCTCATTATTGGCTTCAGCTGTACTTATTGTTACCAGCCCGCGTCCCGATGCTATTTTTTCTAGCCAGTCTCAGTGGGAAAGACTTTTGTGCAGAGCAATATTTGCATCTTGGCAAGCCTTTACTGGTATACATATTGTTAATACGCACATAAACAGGATGCCATTCATATTTAAACAGCACTTTCTGAGTCTGATGGCATCACAGTCGAGGGAATGGAAATGTTCTGATTTGTATCACTTATCTCAGTGGAGGTTGTTTCCTCCGCATATTCTGACTTCTGTAGGGCCGCTATAATAAGGTAGTTATATTCACATAGGATGAGACACTAGGCATTTAATAACACCCGCTTCCTCCCCCAAAAGCCTAATAAGCTTGCCTTGCCAGTTGATCTTTGCAGTCATTTACCCCTCTGTTTTTTCCAGACTACTGTGCTTCCTTTATACTTCAGCTCCTCTCTTCGTTTTCATTTGCATATATTCAGGGCCCTAAAGAAAAACGGCTCTGCATTAAAAGGCTATCACAGAAATATATGCTATTTAAGTAACAATAGAGCATGCTTTTCATTGGGAGGAAAAAAAAAAAAAAAAAAGAAAGGAGGATATTTAAATTCCTAATAAGATTTAAAAGGATGTCACATGTTGTTCGGTGTACGCGGTGCTCACAGCATTTGTCCTTGCTAATGCATGCAGTTTGTTGCAGCTTCTGCTGCAGCTGGTTTCTCTCTTGCTGTGTGTTCGGAGTTGTCACCTCTGTCTCTGTCTGGGGCTTTCCCCTCCCTGCAGAGAGCTTCGTGTATCCCTGTTTGCACCCCCTGCAGCTATTTGCTCTGGCGTTAAGGGTGTGCGAGGTGGTGCCACTCGCGCTGGGCAGCATGCCACATGTCACACTGACTTCTGCAGCCTGCCAGGAGCCCAGCTCGGCAGGGCTAGCCCTGGCATCAGCTCCACCGAGCTGACCCGGGATCACATTCCCACCCAGGGGATGATACTTTTTCACTGGGTCAGCAGGACCCAGAGGTGGCAGAAGCAGGCTCTCCCTTGTGGCTAGAGCCCGTCATCAGTCCAACCAAGCTGACGGCGGAGTTGCGTGCTGGGTTTACAGCTTGAAGACTAGCTTAAGTTGCTGTCAGGTTTTGGTTTGCTTTAGCACTCGAGGCAGGCCAGGTAGTGGCCATAGATTGTGGCTAGAGCCTCTGCTAGGTGGACAAGACACCACCAGGGAGAGGAAGGCAGGGGACGGCAGTAACATCTCCACCTGCTGCAAATTCATCTTCTCCCCTCTTTCTTTGGAAGGGCTATTTATAACTGGCTCATCCTGGCGACCCCAGATGTCAATGCGCAGCCTCACAAACTGTTGGGTCAGCACGCATGAGGTGGCCCAAGCAGCGAGGACATGGGGACAGGGGTTGGAAGAGAACCAATCTCCTCACAGCACCATGAGGACCACCAAGAGCTCCCGGGGCCCACGAGGCTTCCCTGTAGCATTTGGGTGTGCTGAGCTGGTGTGTTAGCTGATTTCTTCAAGACTCAAGCTTGCTTTCGGGAAGGAGCTTTGCTTTTGCTCTGGGCTCTGGTAAGTAGTGGGCAGTCGGTAATGCACGAAAAATCCGAACGCTTTCCCCAGTAGCAGAGAAAACGACGCTCTGAGCGGAAGGACAGTCTGGCTGTATTTTCAGTACATATTTTTTAGCAGTGAGTGAAGAGGTGGCTGCTTTATAGGTGTGAAAACGAGAGGCAAAGGCCAGCAAACTATTGCTTGCATTTCTGTATTTTAGAAAGCAGTAGACAAACCAGACGGTTTTTGAATGCAGGGAAAAAAAAGGTCCTCAGAGCTGAAATAGGCAGGGTCGTGACTTTTCAGTGTTATTCTCATGAAAGAACAGGGAGGATTAAAAAAAGAAACCCTAAAACACCAGTGACATATCTGCTAAGCTTGTGTGTGAAGTAGCAGGAACGACTAATTTCTCCATCCTTCCACAAGGACTTTCACGGAGCGTTTTTGCAGGGCAGACTCGTGGATAACTGCACTTCATCATGCTACCAGGGAGCTCATTCAGACTGAAAGTTGGACTATTGGTTTTTAATTTCAGTGCAGTTTTTCATTTTGATAGCTCTTCCACCTGACACGGAATTGCCATGGTGCAAATTGAATACAATAAAATTGCTAATCAGCCCATTAGAATATGTTGATGGTATAACAGCTATTAGTTGTTGAATAATGTCTTCCTCCAATGTATTTTGAATTAAGTCCGCAGGATAGCAGAATGTGCACATGCATGTGTAGCCTTCTCTCGGAAACCCATATGACTTCTTAACACAGTGGCAACCCTGTACAAATATCAGTGAAAGAAAATGTGTCTTCAGGTAGTGAAATAAGCAATAAAACACAGAGACAAGTAAGACAGGCTACACAAGTCATTTGCTCTGATTACAGGTCTTCCATGGGAACACAAAACTTATTACAGGATCCAGTTTCTCATCATAGGGCATTTTTCTGACTTCCAGTGCTGCTTATCCCGGGAATACCTCGCACATTTTACCTCCCCAACAGTTAAAATAAACCAATCTCCTTCAGCGACATCTTCTTACCCAGTTTTCTCCTGCTCTCCTTCAAACGCTTGCCTGACAGTTTCTTAGGTCTTTAACACTGTTATGCAGAGGCCACAAATCTTTCCCAGCACCCCAAGAAGAAGAACCCCTACCCCGTTTCTTTTAAACTCTCTTTAATTTCTCTAACACAGTCTTCCCTTGCTCCCCTATTGCAAAGGCTCAAAACACAAGCTTCTTTTCTTGGCTGCCCCTTCTTGGGGAAAGAAATTTCTTGGGGAAATTTCCTACACTGGCACTTTCCCTTGTCTGCCTTCTCTGGTGCTAATTCCCGCGGGGCTGGAGGCTGCCACACCAGGAACGCCTTCGTCTGAAGATGAAAATAGGAAGAAGGGAGCAGTGAATACAAAATGCTTCCTGATTGTTTAATATGCTCTGTTAAGAGATCCTTCTCATTAAAAAATAAAATTTGTTGGCATTAAGGGGAAATCTGTCCCTATCCACAAACATGGGTTCCTTGAAGAATCACCCTTTATAGTTAGCTTCTAAGAGAAACACAGCAGTCCTATTATAAAGTCCTACAGTTTCTGGGACTTTATTTTCTGATAGGAATCTTGTGATTTCAAATGAGTCAGAATCCAGACTTACCCAGTAATGCATAAAAACAAGAATGCAGTATTACTGAAACTTTCTTATAAAATGGTGCAGTCCACTATGAGATCAACTGCAGTGTGAATGTTACCAACAATATGACTTTAATATATCAGAAATGATAATCCAGGTTTGTAACCCCGGGCATTAAAATATAAATAAACAAACAAATAAAAGGCTTCGTGTGTATCTCTGCATCTTTATGCACCTTCAGGGAACAGGCTTTCAAGGCACCCAAAGCTCATACAAACTAGCATCTGTGTCATTCATGTTATGGGACTGAGAGCAGCCTACTTGCAAGAAACATTAGGGCTCTCTATCGTATGCCGGTAAGAAAAGGAACAATGCATTTGAGATGGGCAAAGATGATTCAGCTCAATCTGAGGAGAGTGGCTTTGTATTCCCAGTCAGTTTAACGACCCTTTCATCGTTCAAGGAAATTATAACTGTGATTCACTGGGACAAAGTTAGCAACTTCTCTTTTTATCTAAGTCCTATTACTGGTGCCCGTCACAGCCATTCAAGGACCTCCTGGGAACCAAAATGGACAATCGCATCCTCCTCCCTCTGCCAGCCAGAGGCTGGGTATCATTAACAACGCTTAAATTAATAGTGAATTTTGGAGGTTTCCAGCAGGAAACCATGGATGAAGAGACAGGACATACATTTCAGTTCAAAGTCCTGCCTGTGAGTGGAGGTCTGTGACATTTTCCAGTTCAAAATTAGACATTCATGAGTTCACTGCAGCGAGGTGCAGGTTATTGTTTTCATCTGTGGAATCAATAGCTGGGGGGGAGGAGGTGGAAGGCGGCTTTTTGAAAAAGGGAGCATTTCTCACAATGGAAATAAATCCATAATGTGTAATAAGTGACCGAAGGTGGTTCCCTGCCTTTGCTCTTTTCTGTGTGATATAGGCCTCAGGGCTCTGAAAGGAACTGGAACACAGGATGAGGTCTTTCATCAAACTTTGCATTACCGCGGATAACATAGCATCCAAATTTTGCCAGATTATGTGAACATAGGAGACGTGCAGAAGCAAAATATCTAGAGCTTTGTCTAGGTGAGGTCAAAGTAGAGTAGGTAAGCAGAAGGGAAACCCATCTTGTGGCCAGCTGCAGCCCACCAAAGCCTTCCATGCACTTTATAACTCCAGGAATCCCTAGTCTCAGAGCAAATGCCAGGGTTATCCCTGCACCTCTTAGAAAGGATGTGCCTCCAGTCTGTGTTGTGATGGTGGCACCACGCAGAACCCACCACTGCAATGAGACTGAAGGCAGCAGTAACAGTAGTTAATGCTTTATTGCACTTAAGAATGATCAAAGCTGCTATATTCATTCCTTTCTAAGTGGACCGGACTGGTATAATGTACATCTTTGTAATCTGGAGGCTATGTAACTGTAAAACAGGCTGTCTAGTTTCAAGATCATGAGCTGAGATAAAAGAAAGCATTAGACAGTCTACTCCATCTTCTGTCCCTTGCGGAATCTCTGCCTCTTAATTCCCACAAGTGTTTTGTTGTATATGCTTTAAGTGTCTGCAATGACAGACCTACTACTTTTCAGAGACCATCTTGAAACTTAGCATGACTCTCCAGTGAGATTTTTTTGTTGTTGTGGCTAGTTTGTCTTACATTTTGTCTCCTTACAATTGACTCCAAAGTTCCTGTATCACCCTATATATATATATTATATATATTATAATATATACATTATTATATATATATGTCATTTCCTCCAGCCCCAGCTGAACAGGGCTCCATTTGAGAGACCTTCAGCCAGTAACACTGTAATTTTAGCCTTCTTCTCCTGACCCTCCTTTTACACATTTTGTCCCAGACTAACAATGCTTACCCTTTCTTCAGCAGCTGAGCAAGCTGATGGGCTCAAAGTGTAAAAGCAGAGGGTCTTAATGTAACTCAGCTAATGGGGGTCTTGGAGGTAATAAGAAGGATGTAGTGGATGGCTTTGCCCCTTCTCCAAAGCAAAACCTCACTGAAAACCAGTTATTTTCATACCACCAAAGAAACGCAGTTGGTAACAGGCGAGAAATAATCCTCTTATATAACAGGTCAAATAATAATATGTCATCAAGGTGCTTTTAACTTCATTAAAATTTGTCCCTTGATAAGTGACATTTTAATTATGTGATCAGGTAATAAAATAATACATGCCTGAAAATTTACGTCCAACCCACATATTATTAATGGTCTTAAATTAACCCTGGATGAGAGTGTAGAACTTAATCTTAGACAGCAAATAATCTACTGAACCTTTTCCACACACGTTTTGGAGTTTTGAAATGATTATTCATTTTGGCAAAATAACTGACATAGGGACATTAATCTAGCCCATAAAATAAACAATAAAGGTAACAAATGCTTTTTAATCTACACTATAATGTTGCCATAATCTAACAAAATGTCAGGAATTTGAGGATTAGACTTCTATATTGCTTTAGCATGAGTATTCCCCCAGGGGACTTCATAGTTGATCTGAACCTACAGCTGGGAGGTGGGTCCCAAAACGGGGCAGGCATCTCATGAACCAGATAAGGCAGCCAATCCCCTGAACTGAAGCACTTTTCCTTCAAGACTAGATGAATTTGTCAATATGATTCTTTTTATTCATGCCAGGTTGGCCAAACAGCTACTCCTCTCTTTTTGTAGTTGAAGAAGAAACTTTTTTTTTTTTTTTTTTTACCGTAGTCTTTGTGCTTCAGGTTTTATTTTATTTATTTATTTATTCATTTTTTACCACTGCCCAGATACACATGGATTCTTGGAAAACACAGTGCAGTTCATGCCAAGCACACTGCCTGCCTTTGGCATTTGCCCACTTTGCATTGCAGGTGAACCTTGAGCACAGCAGCCTCCATGCCCTGCTGCTTCTAAAGATTTGCAATATCCAGCCAATAAACCTTCGTTGTTGGGGAAGATGCTGTAAAATCAGGGGAGCTGACTCCTTAGGGGAGAGTTTGATGCAAAATAAAGACACACATTTCCCACTAAAGGTTAAACCACTGTTGTGGTGGCGGTTGAACAAGGTGTTCAGAGCCAAGATGTATTAGCAGATTTGGCTTGCTCTATGAGACAGCAAAGCCAACCTGGAGTGTCTGAACAGTTCACTCAGAGGGGAAACTATAGCTGCAGTAGTTTATCTCCTTGGTGCTTGCCTGCCTCATCTTCCCTGCCTCATCTAGAGAAAGAGACATCCTTGCTGGGTGGAAAAATTCAAAGAGACAGACATGGAGGGCTTCTGAGTGCTAGAGAGTATCCTGAAGCTAGCCCAATGGGAGAAAAAACACAGGATGTCCCTAGGGAGGTAGCAAGCACCACTCTAATCTTGGGTACACTTGGGTGAAAGATGGCATGGTCCGTGTTTCGGTATAAGCGTGCTCCAAATATGTGAAAACAACAACAACAACAACAACAAAAATCAGGAGCATTTTTCAAGCTGAGATACATTATATAGGTTTAGGCATGAAGAGACCTATCTAAAGGCCTCTTTACTGTGTACTTTAACTTCTGTATCAAATGTTTGAATATGCCTGTTTGATAGGAAAGCGATCTTAGTTGATTTGAATTTTTATTTGCAATGACATCTAGAAATAAATTTTTAAAATGATTTAAGGATTTTTTAAAATGTACAAAACCAGTATCTGTGAATTTTTAAGACTGTTTGTATTTAGAGCTATTTGTTGGAGCAAAATCCATTAAAAAGCAGAATGAACTGTGCTAGTCAGAAAACTCAGAGCAAGTCATAAACTCCAAAGGCGCAGCTCCAGAATTCAGCCGCTGTGATGTAAACAATATGAGTCTAATCTAACATATAAACTTCTCCAAAGCATTTATCACTGTAGTATCTAGGCCATGTACATAGATTTCAGAATATAGTGGGATCTGTCCAGAAGGGATGATCAATTTCCCATTCATCTGATGTGCTACCCATTGGCTTTGCCATTACGTTTAAAATAATGGAAGTTACTCTCTGATCACGAGCATGTAATTCACAAATGGGCTGCCCTGATGTGATTTTGATGCAGGCATTCAGGTAAGATTTATTGGGTTTAGATTTGCTTTTTCTGCAGCTCTCCTGACATTTTCCAAGAGTAGAGTCCCTGGCTACATCGATCCATTTATATCCTGCTGTTCCCAAAGAGCAAATTTGGGTATCAGCAACCCCAGGAGAAAAAAAGCTAAGTGGGAAGACAAAGGTAAAATGTTTCAAAGATATCCATGTGCATCTACCACCTCTTATATTCTGGAGATCTGTTTGGGAACTTTGATGTTTTGTGGGGAGACATAGACCACGCAGGGATGGGGCAGGTCTGGCCTGGGGAATCAATGTTTTGTGCCTTAAGGGAGTATAAAAATCCCCACACCATGCAAGAAGCAGAATTTGCTTTCTTCCAGCTTTCCCATCCACTGTCATTTCCCCTGATGCTGGGTGTAAGCAAATGCAATGTTCAAATGATGAAAAATGTCGCAGTTACCCCCAAATTATACAGGCAACCTGCAAAAGATTTGGGTAAATTTATGTATTAGAAAGACAGGTGCCCAAGAATGACTCTTGCAGCAGTGTCCTTTAAAAAAAGAAAAAAAAAAGAAAAAAAAAAAAAGAAAAAAAAAAAAAGGGGGGGAATGGTTCTGAAGTGGAAAGCATATAATAAAAATCGTTATTTATTAATAGAGCTGCTGGAAACTCCCTGGAAACCGTATCTGCCAGCAGCGATATCTGCATGTCAATCTAACTCCCTCTTTTTATTCTAGAGCAAAAAAGCTGCATTATTGCTCCTGCTGCTGTGATCCCCTCTCAGGCTGCTCTGATACATGCCTCTCCGGTTCCCTCCTTTTGGGATAAATCCCCTCCCATGCCATCTGTCTTATGCTCCGGCTTCTCCTCAGCCCTCCCCACTGCTTCCCACACACAGAGCCTGAGCCAGAGGCTCCTTAGCACCCTTCCTGAGCCCACAGCAATGAGCCCTGTGCTGGTGGAGGTTTTGGAGGTCACTGGTACTTCTGTCTGCCCTGAGGGGCTCAGTGGTGTCTCCAAGACAGTGAGGCACTCTGATGGACCGTGGACATGTCACCCCTGTGGGCTGAGATGTCACCAAACACCGTGTGGTTCCTCTCCCATGTACGGGCCTCGCCAGGCCAGGCCAGGTGATGACTGGACCTGGTGTTGACTTAACATCACCCCCTGTGTCTGTTCTCTGCTGCTTTTGAGGATTCTGCCCACCTGAGAGCTAATGAAACCACCCTGATACTAGATGACTGGCAGAAAAAAAAAAAGGTTTAATTACGGGGAGTGGCTGCAGAGTGGTGGCATGTTTGGCAGGACGAAGGAAAATGGTAGCCTCCAAAAGCATCTGGGTGCACATGCAGTTAAATCAAGGAGGTTACGGGGTGGCATCTTGACAAAACCCTTGGAGGAGGGCAGATAGAGGAGGAGTTGACGTATTTCCAATTGGCATCATCGGCCCAGTGGTGGGCCAACTTGGTGTCCAGCTTATTCCCTATGTTCGAAGTTTTTTGCTAGACAGCCCCTTCCAGGTGCTCTGATCCAGATACCGGTTTTGGATGCATTTCCCCAAATCAGGTTGCATGCTCGGGTCTCCCCAGACACTAACTAGCAATCTGGTGTGCTCCCGCAGCCAAGGAGCAGCACCGTGGAAGAGCAGCTTCCATCAGAGCCAGAGTGATGAGAGCTGGATGCTGCAGAAAAGGAGCAGGCCTCACGGAAAGCAGGCTCAAGGATCTGCAAGGTACCAAAGCCAGCAGGCAGCTCCCAGTTGTAAGTGAGGAATGAAAAGGAGTAGGAAGCACGGGCCTGGCCGGTGTGATATGGCACCTGGGGGTGTCCAAGGAAAGGCTGGACGTGGTGCTTAGGGACATGGTTTAGTGGGTGGCATTGGTGGTAGGGGGATTGTTGGACCGGATGATCTCGGAGGGCTTTTCCAACCTTAATGATTCTGTGATTTCCTTCCAGACCACAGCTCTGTGCAGGATCCTGCCTACCCGTGGGCTCTGTTTGGCAGGGCTTCATGCTGGGAGCCAGCTAGAGCAACCTCCAGCACTGCGGGTTGGCAGCATGCAGCCGGGCAGACGGCGCAGTCACCGATTAATAGCAGACAGCAATATTTAAACTAATCATTACAGGGATCGGCATAAAACAAAACTCTTATTAAAATTAACAGCACGGTCACTGAAACTGATGCTGTTTCATGCTATTCATTAGCTAACAGCTGAATCTAGCCAACAGCCCTTGACTGGGGCTGGTGTGCTTTTAGTCCTGTGTCTCCTGGAGACAAGGCTGACATGATTTCAGATGCTGTGTGGACACATTGGCATAACCAAATGAGGTCGTGCTAAGAGGGAAGGACTCCAGCCTTGGGCCCACGAGGTGGGAAATGGCTCTGAGCTGCTCACTGCCATGACCAGACTGGTGCTGAGAGCAGCTGCAAGGCTCCACATAAGGACACAGGGAAAATTTACACCAAAAAAAAAAAAAAGAACCTCTCCAGCACACTAAATTAATTGCTAAGGTGGACACATGTTCCTAATAGCTTTTGAACTATTTGACAGAGTATGAAAGGCTTTAATCAGCCTCTAAAATGTTCATGAAAAGGGGTAGATAGACAGAGCCCTTATTAATATCCCCAGTGATGGAAAGGCTGCTCTGTGAACTCACACTCTGGGAGCTGTGAATCCACAAAAGAAAATCCTCAAAACAAAGCTGCTCCGAGTGACCTAATTAGCACAGCACAAGAAGTGTTTGACCTATAACGGAGGGGATTCCTGCCTCATACGAAGCTGTGATGCATCCTCCCCCTACCCACTGCGAATGCACAATGAAACATTTTCGTGAAATGCTTTTATACTTAACCTTGCATTCACAATGGTCTAGAAGTGCATGCACAATCATTTACCATGTCTCTTGGGGGGGGGGGGGAAATATTAAAATGTGATTTCCAAAAGACTGAATTGGTACAAGAGCAGATGCTAAACTCACAAAAAATAATGCCATAGGATTTTTTTAAGAAAATCTTTATATGTGTCTGTCTATCTATATCCATCATCTGAGCTCCCACTCTCCTTCCTCTACCCCTGAAGGCTCCCCTTGAACTCTCTGCTTTTTAGTCCTAACCAGCACTTTTGCTGGGTGGCTTCAGACCGAGTGCTCTCCCTGCTGACCCCCAGACACCTAATTGCTCCACTCCTTAATGTTCCCAAGGTCGCAGGATGTGCCACATCCCCCCTGACCTCCGAGGCACTTTCAATATCTCATGAGCTGAAGTCAGCAGCAATCTCAGTCTAAAACATCACCATCAGCTGTATTGCAGGAGCATCAGAAGGACCCAATGAGGATCAAGGCCCCGTTGTGCTCAGATCTGCATAAACACCCAGTGAGAGACAGCTCCTGCCCTCGCGAGGTTACGGGCTGAAAGGGAAGGCAGGCAGAGTGAAGGCAAGTGGGAGACACGGAAGCAGAGTGTTCGTGGTGATGCGAGTCACATAGCATGCTTGTCTCTTGTTCTCCCCCTCCCCTCGAAATTAAAGTAAAATAAGTTGTTGGCTTGTTTTTTGGAGTTGTAAATCACTGTTTGCAAAAGTGATCGTCTGTTTCCATCCACCTTGGTTCTGTGTCAGCGCTGCTCCGGGCTGCATTTCCTGAGGAGGCCCCGTGGCTCTGCAGGAACGGCGCAGCACAGGAGCACCAGGAGAAGGAAGAAAAACCCTTGGTCACCCCCTGCCCCTGTCACAGGTGGCTGCAGCCTTGCAACAAGCTCATTGGGGGCAGACTGCATGCAATGCAGGGTGGATCCCAGCACATGCCTGATCAAGGAAGGAGAGAAGGAAAATTTTGAGAACTGGAAAAACTACACTCAAGTAGGGCACAACATCACTTAAATCTGACCCTAAGGAGAATAATGCATTCTTCTCTTTCCTAGGCAGTGGAGGTGTACCAGCATCACAGAGCTGCGCAGCAAGGACAAAGGACAGTCTGTCCTGTCCTATGCAAAAAAGTCCCACTCTTAAAGCAAGGCTTCAGGACGGTGTGCGCGAGTTTGATTTGCATCCAGAGTGGAAACATGCTTGCCAGCCATCAGGCTGATCTGATTTGAAGCAGCTGAGATATTAAATGCACTAAACCAGAATGTATAATAGCTGTGCTGGCAGACCTTTAATTATTGTCGTGCTTGTGGGCACTGATATCATTCAAATTAAAAGCTTTCCCCACTACTTGCATTTTTTTTAATATGTTGATGTACTCTGCACTGATGGATTGTCCTCTCTTGTCCTTCTCTCACAAAATGCTTGGCACCATTTGCCCCAGTGCAGAACTAAAAATTACTGGTGCTCACTTGCCATATTTTTGTTCTTTTTGTTTTGTTTTAAAGCAAGGACCCCATAACTGGAAGAAAGACTTGATAAGTTTGGAAAGGCAGTGTTAATTCCTCAGTCACCAGTCCTCCTCAGAAAAAGCAGGAACACTCATTATTAATAGCAAGACCAAAGTGCTGGTGCAAGCTTCCCTAGAGGATCGTGCTGGCTGATGACATAGCAAAGTTTCCTAGCTTTGTGCTGCACAGATGCTCTCATTTTCTTCCCTCAGCTGGTCCGGAGACAGATATTTTAGGCCAGTTCAGTGTTCAGCTATAGCAGCAGAAAGCTTGAGCAGCTCCTCTGAAGTTAAACAGCATCTCTCAGTTTGCACCACTGTCAGTGATACGAGAATTTGGCTCCTTGTTTAGTACTGTGATAAGGCTGCTCATTGTAATTCTGGAACAAGTGGAACTGTTAAGCGGAATGAGCACAGGACCAGCAAAAAAAAATTATCAGAAAAGTTGCCTACATCCTCTCCAGAGATGGAAAAACCCTAAGGTAGGCAGAGGAATATTCCTATTTATTCCCCTGGATGACACGCATAGCACATCACATCTTCATTATATCTTCACGGGAGGAGCAGTACTCATATCTCCCACATTGCTTCCAAATTACAGGCCCTGCCTTGCCACGGCTGCCGCAAAACTCCTTTCAGCTCCTGCTGTGTTCTGCAGCTCCCCTTGCTGTACACACTATGCAGCTGGTTTTATCTTGGGAGCAGGGATGGAGCACAGTTTGAATGGGACCAGGGCTCAAACCTGCGCTTGTCCCTTCCTCACGTCTCCTGTGCTCTGAGCCTTTCCGCATACTCCACAGCAACTCTTGCTTGCAGGGGAAGGTCACGCCTGCAGCCTGTTTTATTCACCAGAGACCCGCTCTACCTGCCTGCATGCAGAACCAGGAGGCAGGAAACTCCTGCGTTTGTGATCTTGACTGCAACGCTAAATCTCTCACTGGCCTCGAGCGATTCACTTCACCTCTCTGCCTTACTTTCCCCACGTGCAGAAATGAGATAGTGCTTCCTTTCCTCTCAGGGATATTGCAAGGATTAATTAGTTAACCGAGTTTGCTTCAAAGGTGAAAAGCGTTTTCCACCTGTTAAGTATTGTTCTTTCCTAAGGAGGAAAAACAGGCTCCACTTCACAGAAGTGATTTTAGAAGCCCAAACCCAAATAAAAGAAAAGCTGAGAGTAACCGTGTTAACACCAACCAGCAGGACGTGGGAGTGCTGAAGGAGGGAGATCATCGTAACATGGCAAGGTTTGCAAACGTGCCACCTTCCAGCCCTTGGGAAGACAGATTAGGTGAGAACGAGCAGCACGTAGCGGACAGGCAGGATCTTTTCCGTGGCTCCTGGCGCAAGCCCAACATAGTTAGTCAGCAGCCAGATATCCTGGCTGTCTGGTGGCCTTCGCATCCAGCCAGCCTGGCAGCAGGTGTAGCGTGGGCCATGCTGCAAAACGTGCTGTCCCAGCGGGGCTCCCAGCGGGGCAAACAAGGACAGTACTGCCTCACGTGTGCTTCTGAAACAGACCAAGCAAGACAAGGAAATCCAAATGTTCCCTGCACAGGCTCGATCCAGCCTTTGGGATTAAAGGTACATAGCTATTGCTTCTATTTCACTACCATTGCATTATTAAGTTAAAAGAATTCAAAAGCAAATGCCCAGGACCCAAAAGGAGCTGCTGTCACAGAAAGGGGATGGAAACCTGTTCAAGTGACTAGTATGAGCCGCAGCACTACCTCCAGACAAAATAAAAGGGAGGAGGGAAAAGGAAAGCAATAACTCTAATCTGCCACTTAGGTAAATTGAGCAGGACAAAACCAATTACGCTAGCTGCCCTTAGAAGTGCCATTCTGCAGCTTCTCAACGTGCTGGCATAAAGGCAGCATTAACAGGGTATCTATGGCGATAGCCAGCCAGCTTCTGCACTTGGTGATGTCTCTGGGAGGCAGCACAACCCTCAGGTCTGCCTCCCCACCACAGTGCAGGTCCTTCCTGATGTGCTGAAAGAGTAGCTCATGTGTGCATGTTCTATCCTACAGCAGGAAAGGTCAGGCATACGCAGGCTGAGCTGCCTACCTCTTTTGCCTAAAGTAAAATGGAGGAAGTTTTCGCAAGGTAGGATGCCAGAGGGGCTTTAAGTTTTACCTACAGCTAAAGAGTTCCTGTTCATTGACTCAACTGGATCCGAAAAATGGTGTCTGCTTGTAGCCTGCTTGATGTGAGAGCTGGCAAAGGTGAGGCTCTGTCACTGAGAACTAGCCAAAGGCTGGTGTTTCAGTGCTGCTGCTGCTTTCTGAACGGCACAGCTGCATAAGCCTTTGCATCGCCACCACTCAGGCTGCTCAAGTCTGCTCTGCCCCCCTTCTTTCCTTTCCTGCATTTGTACCTACTGGGTGTAGGTACATTTGCACCTAAATTGCTACACACATTTCGGCTCTAACGGCTCTAAGGGGTCCTGCATTTTCTTGTTTTTGAATCAATATAAGTCAGGAGTAATCCTAGAGGAGATTCACAAGGGCAAAGCCAGTGAAAAACAAGTGAAATCAAACAGAGGCCCAATTCACAGAGATTCAAAGCTGATTTTCTTGAGAATGGAGGCTAATCCATTCTAAAATAGGAAGCTTCCAGATTTCAGGACTCCCAAGAAGGAAAGTTTTTAGCTATAAAGAACAGATCATTCCCGTCTGTCACAGGCAGTGCTGCTGCTGAAGGCAATGGGTGTATTGACTGGTTCCAGCTGAGGAAGCGGCCAGGTGGAGTTAACTCTTCTAAAGAACAATCCTTCATGAGTTTACAGAGAAAAGTCCGCATGACAGGCCTCAGCACGACCTTCCAGGGGAAGTAAGGGCCCAAGATGTGCTCCGTATTCACAAACAGGAAGGGCAGATGGGAACTGGCTATGAGGCATCTGCATGATGTCCACCCCGTTCTGGATTAGCCAAGCAAACATCAGTGCTTGTGGACTCCTGTGTCGCTGATATTAGCAGATTGTTCTTACTAGTGCTCAGCATGAGAGAAGGGGGAGAAATTAGGGAAAAACAAAAACAAAACAAAAAAAGCTCATAATATTAAAACGCTGCTGGAGCCTGAAGTCAATATTGCCTGCTGTTCACAGAGCTGCTGCTTCTGTTTGAAGGACCCTACATCTCTCTTTCTTTGCCACATTTGCAATTAGTTTTCCATACACATCCACTCTTGACTTTAAAATAATTTCCCCTTCACCCCTGAAGGAAAATGATTTTGTAAAGAAATCGCTTCCAAAATCGCAGTTCTTTTCTCGCCCGGGAGTGGCTCTGGCAGGCAGTCTGACGCATCCCAGTGTACTCCTGAAAGCATTCATGCCTTGCTGAGCATCACATTTTGTGGCCAAGATTTCAAAGAAAGCAATCAGGACCAAAACTTCAAGCACTAACACCATATTTAGGCACTCGTGTGAGTGCTGTTTTTTTCAGCAATGCTTAGCGTGTGGCAGCTCCAGATGACTTCTCCAGATGACTTCTTTCCATCCCGTGCCTCATTTTAACACCAAGCCCCAACATAACCATGGTGGTTTGCTACAGTGGCAGGTGTATATTCCTCTTGGTAGACTTGGATCTGCTTTTCTGCATCCTGTGATGGTATTTGGTAAGGCTGAAGGGCAGGTAAGTGAATATCACTGGATCTTATGGCCATTCAGCACAAGCAGAAAGCCTGTGCCAGACCAGAATATTTCCACAGCATGGAGTAATTTTCTTTGCAACTTCCAGAGCCATTTTCTTTCACGCCTGCTTTAGGCATATACATTTATTGCACTTTGCTGAAATTCTCAAGGCTGGTTGTAAAGGGGAGTCATGTAAAGTAAAGGCTCTTGGTGGTGTAGCCAAGTATTTTGCCATGGAACAGTTCTGTGTTATCTCTATCATGGGTAGCTGAGCTCCTTGTCTTGCTTGCTGGATGTTTCCTCTTGTTTGTTTGACATCTGCCCTTGTGTTTGGGTGCCTCATGTCATGGAGACAGAGGACCCAGAAAAAAGGCTGGGAAGGTGGAAAATATGGAATTAACAGGAAATCATGTTATCTAAAGGAAACAGAAACTACAAAACACTGATAGCAGAAGATGCAGTGTGCTGCGGAACATCATCTCTGACGTTACATTTAGTTCAGTCACTTACTCAAGGGACGGATTTGGCCTACCCAGCAGAAATTGTTTGCTTTAGCCAGTAATGTTAACTGAAGAAAGCAAACAACATTACTTTAATTTTATAAAAGAGAGGAGAGCGAAAGATCCCATTTCAAATTTTAGAGTAAGGGCTGGGAGGGGGAATAAATATTGAACCTCCATACGGTGTTAATTAGCTCTGGCATGGTAGCCAAAGAGCAATAGCCAGAGAGGCCTGGGTAAGAATAAAACTCACATGGCTTCTGTGGAAACATATTTTCCTAGCTTTTTAAAAATAAACAGAAACCCAAATCTGTCTTTTTTTCCCCCCCTTTTTTTTAACACAACAGTCTATCTGTTGCAGAAGTTGTTACAGCTGCAATCTGAGAATTCAAGCTGGGAGGATGCAGTGAGCCTGGCAGTGAAATCAGGGCAACGTGAGCACTTCTACAGCACAATACCAATATTCGCTCATTGCATCTTTAAATAGCATGATTTTTTTGAACCCTGAGATTCAGATCTGTGTACTAATTTTCTGTTTATAGCACCAACTGTTACATTTTAGTCCCTTGTATTTTGTGTTTTTCCAGATCACCTTAAGGAATTTAAAAAATGTTTCCCAGCCTGGCGTAGAAGTGGAATAGTTAATCACATACCATTATGCAACTGATAAAATAAAACTGTGCTTTTCCAGATGTCAAAATCATGTATGTGTTGGTCTAAAGCCTTGTAGTAAAATTCAACCCCACAATCCTTTGAATTCCATACATTCATTTTTATTTAAGATCTGGAGCTCAGGAGTACAGGGCAAAGGAACAGCTTTTGATTTGAGACTTGCAGAGAGAAAATTATATTTTATTAAGTTAGTGAAAATGCTGACTGCAGAGAAATTTTAAATAATTTATTTTTTAAGAAATGAAAGTACTCTTATGTTCTGATATGAAAGAAAAGCTAAAGCTTTGCTGTTTATATTAGGGAGCAGAGGTGAAAAGTGGTAAACTCAGTGAACTGCTAACAGTCAGTGCCTTTCTTCTATGATTTGTCCTGCAACTGCCTTCTCAAAAAACACATATCACACACTTTTAACTATTGAAGCACTATGTCTGACGAAAAATATAAGGTGGACTGGAAGACCCCACTATGTTGGCACAGGGGCTGTGGACACCAAATAAGTAAACAAGGTGATACCAGGCTCTCAACAAGGTGATGGATGTCACATCCCACAGATTGTGGAAAATTTTGCACTACAGAATAGCAGCAAATTTCTTCTTTTTTTGGAGTTCCCCAAGCTTTTTTTTTTTTTTTTTTTTTTTTTTTTTTTTGGTGAAAACTCCATGTAAAACCACACTAACGGGCATGTGGTTCTGCATGACTCATAAAAAGCAACAATCTTTCAGTTTGGGGGACCACTGCCCTAGACCAAAGCTGCTAGTATCTGAGACAAGTTCTGATAAGATATATCCAATATCCCTTTCATGAGAATTCAGCTTCCTTCCTGTATATGTAAGTCCTCTGGCTTCACTTTCCTCCTTTTCCATCTACCTCTTCTGCTGTAGTTTTTAGCAATACCAGAGAATTCAAACATGGCTCCTAAAACCCTCTTTTAAATGCATTGGGCTGGTGGAGGTAAGAGTCTGGATCATGACACAAATAATAACGTGTGGTCAATTCCCAAAGAGTCTGGTGGACTGTAGCCCCTCCACAGAAGTGGCACAAGGCACTGAACAGGAAGCACTTTGTCACAGGATCTATCTGAAATGTACAGCACCCAACAGTGCTCCATGGCCAGGCTGTCGGATCCTGCCTTAGAATCTCCCAGAAAAGACAGTGAATCACACTGTTCTCCTAAATCAACCTCCAGGTCAAAAAAAAAAGAAAATTATTTGATCTGTGGGTTGTCTGCTCAAACGGGCAATTACTTGGCCTGGAGAGAACAATATTGGGTAACCATTCCCAGTGTGTTGGGAACAAGAAAGAAAAAAACATAAAACCAACCAACCAGCTTCCAACTCCTTGTCAAAAGCATGTAGACCTGGTGTCTGCTTTTCACTCTGACTTGGCAGGTATCTGCATCACTCTGCCTTCTACCCCAGCATGGGTCTTTGGAGGTGGTTCAGAGCATGTCTGTGAACACTTTCCAGCACCCATCTGTTCATAAATAGCCTCCTCTGAACTCTTTCTGATATGCATTCGGATCGAGCTAGTCATTCAGATCAAGCTGGGCCATCTCGGGTCTGGAAGTGAGTCAGCTCTGTCTGTTTTGTTCCTTTGCGGCATGCTGCTGTTTAGCTTGGGGACGAGGGGGGAGCCTGGAGACACCACACCTAAGATGAATTAAGCAGTCAAGAGCAGCCTCTGTGCAACCCACAGAACACCCTGTATGCAAATAATAATTCCATTTAGCTTTTCATAACTTAATGACCACATTTGCATACGTTAGCTGTAGACGCTGCTGTTGCATCTACAGAAATGACTTAGCTCTGTTGAGGTAAGAAATAAGAAATGACCAAGCTCTGTTCTGCTGATTGGTGAGGAAGAAGAGAATACTAGCACCAGTTATGGCCTGTTATGATAACTGCTGAGACCAAACCTTCATGGGGATTATATATGCGTGGGGATAGTTGTCGATGTACATTACAATTGGTCCTGAGTTTAGAGGTGGCTGGTTGCTGAGCACATGTTGGTTGTCTAGCAGTCTCAGCTACACAGTTTGCCAGTAAACAGTAGAACAGAACTTCCAGGGCAATGGAGGACACGTTTACTGTGAACACCAAGAAGCCAAAGCAATGGTGCAAGTACTATGGTTAGGCCCGTTCCCACTACACGGATCATGGTGGGCCCAGGGCAGCCCAGCTGGCCTCATAGGAGGCCAGCTGCTGTTTCCCAGCAATGGGAGTCTGTGGGATCCCTTTCTGGTTCTACATCCAGGCAGCTGGTGGGACAACTGAGAGGTCCTGTGTGCACTGAGGAAACTTGTATTGCAGGTTGGGCTATGCTGTGGCCCAAGCAGAGCCTGCAAGTCCTTTACTTGGCCGTCAGGGTATTCTGAAAGACTTGGGTAGCCCAACATTTCTGCTCTTGGCTCTCTGGTACTGCTGAGGGTGCCCAAGATTTCATAGAATAAAAGAATGGTTGAAGTCAGAAGGGACCTCTGGAGATCATCTTCTCCAGTGTCCCTGGAGCAACTTGAGGCCATTCCCTCTAGTCCTCTCACTAGTTACCTGTGAGAAGAGGCCAATCCCCAGCTCCCCACACCTCCCTTCTGGTAGCTGTAGAGAGCAATAAGGTCTCCCTGAGCCTCCTCTTCTCCAGACTAAACAACCCCAGTGCCCTCAGCTGCTCCTCACAGGACTTGTGCTCCAGGCCCTTCGGCCCTTAATCATCTTTGTGGTCCTTTGCTGGACTGTCTCCAGTAAGTCCATATCTCTCATATCACTCTTGGTCAGGGACTTAAAAGATACTGAGTGCATCATTAGGGTATTTTTAACCTGACAGAGTAGCTCCAGCCAGAAAGTATATAATGAGCAAAATATTTCAAAAGGCCATGCGTGTCTTCAGTGCAATGTGCTGCTTTCCTCTCTATTCTTCACACACACAGTTATTCTTATTTAACCAAAACCAAATGGTAAGGTATTTTAAGCTAACATGTATTTCCAGTAGCAACACTCTTTTGCCATGAAATAATTCTCATTTAAAGTTGTCTAAACTGGCTGTGAAAACTGGACTTGCTAGGGCCCATCCCCACAAGAATGGGTGCAGACCCAGCTAAACCTATTTATTTATACATAACAGGGATGGACAAGAAAAAGTTTGATTTTGCAGCTTGCGTGGATATTATAAAATCAGAGCTCTTCCATAGCAACATTATGGAATTTCATGCCATGATAAGTTATATGCAGAGTCTGTGCACGCCAAAATTAGAATATACATATGTAAGGTTTTGAATTCAGTTTACAGAAGGGACTGCATTTTACAGTGGAGCTTAGGACGTGTTATGTCCAACAGCTGCAATGCACAACTCCAAATTGTGATAAATAAAGGACAGGTGAAGAGCCAAAATATAAAGGTTTTCCCAATGAAGATGTACCATGTCCTTTTCTTCTACCTATATATTATCTGCTCTATACACAACTCAGGAGTCTTGATCGCACCTATTCAGATCATTTCCTGGCTTGCAGCAAAGACAGTTGTGCAGAGTGGCACATCACTCCTCATCTTCTTTTTGACTTGTCTCACAAGAGTTTTCTGCTAATGCTCCAATACTTCTAGGCCTGTCCAACAGCAAAGCAGACAGATGGTGTAAGTGGTAATCTTGCTCAACAGCCCCCGTCTAGAACATAACACCCGGCTACCGGCTAAGTGACTTCCTACTAGTTAATGTGAAGAACTGTCCATGTTCTGAAACCCACTCAGGCGGAGGCATAAAACAACCTGCAAATGGGCTGCAGGGGATGGAAAAGCTGAAGTGAAAAGACCTTGGAGTGAACAGGTGAGACATTTTGTCTGAATCCTGCCAGCCTCTGACATCACTGTACTGATGAGGAATCCTTTTTCAGTACATTTGATCAATGTTAAGAGGGAGAACTGAAGGTTTCTGGATGCAAATACAGCAGATTTTCATAACAAAAGCACATTTATTACCTTCCATTCTTGTCTTAAATACCTAGAGCAGATGCAGAATATTGTTGATTCATACTAACCACTTAAGCAATAACAGTTGAGTCACAGAGCATTTCCTAGGGATTAATGAGTAGCTGGGAGAGTTGATGGGCCAAAGCAAAGCAGAGGGCCATTAACCCCAGCCAGACATTAATTCCCTGGGAAATGCCCTGTGCTTCAACTCTTATGTGCCATTATGACCTCCACCCCTTCTTTACACCGTTATACAGAGGAAAAAAAAAGATCTTGAGGAGGGAC